CTTTATCTGATAATGGCTGTGGCTGACTCAAAGTATGTCAAATACCCACAAAGTATACATACATACATACATACACACATATTTACATACGCATATGTGCAGGAATAAGTTATTTAACTGCGATTTTCTGCTATTATTGATTAAGTGTGCAATTTAAAGTTTTAGATATGCTTTTAAAAATCAATTTTAAATTGCACTCACAAGAAAGAAAAATAAGTTAAATAATTTAAACTCTAATTCAGCCAGCTGGTCCAATCAGAAACAGCCACAAAGAATCCCTTTAAATATTTTAATGCGCAGCTAAAAAGTAGGCTACAAAAAACTAAGGTGTTAGCCAAGACACAAACCGCCGCCGCCCCATGCACACCCCAAGAATGTGTCTCGTATATAAACAGCTAAGATACAAACCCGTCGTTAAATCGTAATGTGTCTCGACTATTTTGATTTTTATTTAAAATTTTAATTTTTTTTTAAATTGTATTTGTACAAACTTAACTTACTAGTTAGTAACATAGATGAGAGCAGAAAATAATTGGAAAATAAATATACATATATACAATACAACATATATACAAATACACATACATACATGTCTACTATATATTATACAACAATATAATATGTTACCAGCTAAGGCACAAACCCGTCGTCTAATCAAAAATGTGTCTCGACTATTTTTTTTCGTATTTTTGATTTATTTTATTGTATTATTTGCATTTCTGCAAACTAAGCTAAAACATAACATAAGAGAGATAAGAAAATAGTTGAAAGAAAAAAATATGCATAATTATATATATGTAAAAAAAAAAGATTGGCACTGTTACAAAGGGCCCGTTCCGCATCAAACATTGCGCACGCCGCGCAGCTCCTTGTCGGCCTTCTTTAGGGTCACGAAATTGTTGAGCTGCTTCACGCGCAGCTTGGACCAGATCATGAAGTTGCTGAGGCCCAGAATGGTGGCCGCGTGCAGCGCCGCTGCCTCCGGATAGAGCACAGTGGCACAGCCCAGGCCCGACGGCAGATTCAGGCTCGACCAGGCGTCCACCTGCATGTTGTCTGACTTGACGGGTGGACAGTTGATCACCGGATAGTTGGTGCTGCCGGAGAGGACGGGGCCCAGGCCATTGGAACGACCGGCGACGGCCACAAAGATCAGATTCGTCATCACCGATTCGTATTCCCGGACAATGCGCAGAGTCTCCTCTGGGGCCTTGTGGGCCGAGCTGACGCGCAGCTCCACGTTGAGGCCGAGCGAGCGGCAGCTACTGGCAATCTTCTCACTGTGCGATGTATCCGAAGCGCTGCCCATCAGGATGACAACCAAGTGATCCTTGCGGGGCACGATATCGGCCAATTGCTCCGACACCCATATGAAGTTGCGCTTGACCGTGTCCAGATCGGTGCTGGTGACCGATGTCAGGTTGCGATAGACCTGCTTGTCGACCATCAGACGCTTGTCGCCCGCTGGCCAAAGCCGCCACGAGTCGGAGTCTATGATATCAGCCAGCACAATGTTGCCATCGTCATCCACGCCGAACTCCACCTTCATATCGATGAGCGCACAGTTCTTCGTCTGCCAGGCACGCTCCAGGATCTCGAAGACGAGCAGCGTGGTGCGTCGCATAATGTCCACCTCATCCTGACCTGCAATTCAAGCATATTCCAATTAGCTCCACTCGACTCAAATCTGTTGCAGCTTCTTCTTATCTTTGTCACTTACCAATTGTTAAACCGTTTAGCTCGAATTTGGCTGAAATAATTTGCTCATCGCTCCACTGGGGATCGTGATTGGCGTCGTCCTTGAAGAACGTCTCCTGCTTAGGGGGCGAGAATCTGTGAGAAAGAAAGAGAGAATTGATTAGACAGATGCAGTCATCGATATGCATAGGAGTTAATTTTTACACAGTTATCGATAATTCGTAGTTGAGTTATCGATAGATTTAAGATTATATAACTGTAGATAAACTGTTATCGATCTACACAGTAAACTTAGCGTTAAGTATACTATCGCAGTTATCGATATACACAGCCAAGTCACATCATATTGCTATGGATAGATCATCTGGATGTAAGGAAGCATAAAATACACCACATAGAGTTATCGATAAGATATCAATAGAGAAGATCAAATCAATTTGCTTTGTACTATTATAGTGTTATACGAGTGTAGAGTGTAGAGTGTAGCTGATGAATAGAAAAATAATTTTCATAAAAGTTTCCGCTTATTTACGTCGATTGTCAAAGTTGTGTTATTTTAAGCATGCTTTTCGCCTGTTGTTGTTTTTGTTGTGTCGCTTATCAATGCAGCGGGGTCAACGGAACGACCTCGATGCAGTGCATCAATTGTATTTCAATCTATGATTACCAGCAATAAGCAAAAGTAGGGGGAGGGGTGGGGGGATGGGTTGGTTGCTTACCGACTGCACTGACGTTCGTTGCAATTGATAAGACGCGCAGCAGTCGCATGCAAATTGCAAGGTAGATAACCTAACCGAATGTTACTGACCTGTAGCCCTCGGGCACGCCCACATTGCGCTTGAGAAAGGAGCCGGTTGCCAGGCGGCGCGTAACCCACTCGATTGGAATCATTTCGCATCTGCGGGCAATGAACGCCTTCTCGCCGCACTGCTTAACATATGCAGTGCGAACGCCTACGGCGAAATCAAAATAGAGTGAAAGTGAGACAAGAGGGAGGGGGAGAGAGAGAGACAGAGGGAGCGACACTTACCGGCCTCGTTGAGCAGGCGAAATACCTGGCCATTGGTCGTGTTGGAGATCTGCGCCTTGCCAGCCAGATCGTGGGCCTTGACGCCATCGCCGGCGGTGATGCGATCCTTGCTGAGCAGCAGACAGAGGCCAGGATGCTCGGGCAGATTGTAGACCTGCTTCGTTTTGCCCTCGATAAGCACCTTGCCCAGCTTGTAGCCGTCAACTGTAGACGAGGCTTTAGTTGACAGCGGTTAGGGTGGAGGAGGAGGAGTCGTGTACTTACTCGATGTCGTTGTGGTTGACATTGTCCGTGTGTTCTTGTTGCGGCGACTGCTTTCAATTGTGCCTCAATTTGTTTTCAATTTCAATTGGCACACGTGTTGCGCGTTCTGCTTTGCGTTCACTATTCGTTCCAATGCTGCCTACAGTGCGTATCGAAGTCAAGCTCCAAGCMAACTGTGCGCCAATAGCCGCACCGCCGGCGTCTTTATGTGTCTGCCTTCGCCAGGGATGCCAAGTCAAAATTTGAAAATTACGTAGCCAGGCTACAAAATTTACGTGTTTTTTCGTAGCGCAATGTTGCTGAAATACGTAGATCTACGTACTTTTTTTAAGCAATAAATAAAAAATGAATAAACCATTAAATTTGTAAATTAACTGTATTGTACTTCGTCGTTATTAATTTCATTTGTCGTTTTAGAAAGCAAATTATTTAATTCATAATATATTGATATTACCCAAAAAATTTTGCTTTTAGTGTATTTTGCAATATTTTTTAAAAGTACGTAGTTTTAATCTCATCGCACGTAGGCACGTAGATCTCCTTTAAAATACGGAGATCTACGTCAAAAGACGGAGGGTTGGCATCCCTGGCCTTCGCATCGCATATCTCGAATAAAATACAGCACTCACACACACAAACACTTGCACACAAGCTAACACACGCACACATGGCAACAGTCCATTCAGCAATGCATTGGTATTTCGATCGAAAGGTTCAAAGGGAGTGTTGTTATGGAGAGTGTGACGTCAGAATATTGACTAACAACTTGTCAACATACCGATAACACTTGAGCATTGTTCGCTTTAAAATGCATGGACATACATATTTACAGCTAAGTGGACATGTATGAAAGATTCCAAACGGTGTTATAGAACGTTTTAATGAAAGCTTTCATAGACAAGTCAGTTGTCAACAGTTTGTGACGTCATAATTTCAGTAGCGCAGTCGCGCCCCTAACCTATTGCTCAATCGCGAGTTTAGCATTGACGATCGCCTACAGTTACTCAAAATTTGATAGCAAGAGAGAGACAGAGCGCACCCAAAGTATCGCATGACTCTTCTGCGCTCTCTGCCACAGCTCAAGTTATGTTTATTTTTCTGTTAACTTGTGAGCGAGCGAAGCTGCTGTAATTTGGATTTAAAAGCAATATGGTTGAATATGAAAAGTTTAAGCAACGGCAAGCAGACTTCAAAGTGTTGAATACATTTAATACATTAAATAATTGCTCCTTAGTGAAACCGTTCGCTCAGCATGAATTTGATTATTGGCCGATGTCCGTCATTTCGATTTGATGGCGTCCCAGGGTTAAATCCGGATTATCAGCGCGTCATCATTTTCATTTTACATGGCAGCCCAAACACCCATGTAAACAAAAATATTTTTGTTATTTTTTCAATCGCCCGACAACAATACGTTTTGCACATGCCAAGCTTTTTGTCACTTGGATAGAGACTGGGGTGGGGGGATACATACATATGTACATAATCAGGGTTCCTCTTGGCGGTCGCCAAGTTCAGGCAGGCGGAAAGACAGCAAAATTATTGCACAAGCTATGGTATGTTCTGCGAAGTACACACACATATCATGAAATGGGAGCTCTATAAATCCAATGAACTGCTTTAAGAAATGCCTGAAGAATATAATAGTTTTTAGCGCATTTTTGAAGTACTAATCTTTGGTTTCAAATACGCTCTAAAAAACTAATCTTTGGTTTAAAATACGCTCTAAACTCATAAGCAAAGACATGAACCAATGCACACAAATATCAGAGATGATTGGGATACATTAATATGTAACTATTAGAATGCAAGCCGTAGCTATTCGTCAAGTCGAAATTAGGCACATAACATTTCGTTGGGTGAGTAAATGTTAACAGCGACTGTCGTTAAGCCAGTAACATTCTTCAAGTTGAAAAAATTAGACAGTACACTTTGAGTATAACATTGTGTATCATGTTAAATAGCATATTCTGCTAAGAATCAATTTAATTACAATTTGTTGTTGTTTTTTTTTCGCCGCCGCAGAGTAAGCACGTCGGTAACGGAAATTCTCGTCAAAGTTTTTCGCGCTCTACGTTTTAACGGCGACCGGTCGTCGTCGCCGTCGCTGCCAACACTGTCAAGCGCAGCGGCGTCGCATCAAGCAAAAACGTAATTCCTTTCATTAAAATATACACAACATATGTGTTCTCCAAAAGTATGAAAAAAAGTACACATAAAAGAAAAGGAAAATGCTGCATGCTTGTCTGTTGTGGTACTTGGTAGTTGAACTCAATTCGATGTGTTGCTGTCAAGCTTGGCTCGCTCGAATTGTTGTCTCTCGTCCATCAATTGTGTTTTATTAAAATTACTTTACTTAATTCCGCCTGAGAGTGTATGTGTGAGAAAGAGAATATTAAGAGCATGTGCCTGTGCGAGTTGTCCCGGCTGCAAAGCACAGACGCCGACAAACAGCAAGCAGTAAGCAGCGAGCAGCGCTGTAAAAAGAAGCTGCCGCAGTTACTCCAACAACAAGAAAGCCAAAACAAAAACGAAATAACTGCAAAGCACACAGCAAAATAAGAACAGAAACAGATGCCCAGAAAGGAATCGCAAAATAACTCAGAGCAGCAGTTTAATTATGTTATGCTATGCATTCTTATTTTTCTTCTTTTCCCTATTTATTTTTCATTTGTTGTGCTTGTTATCCTTAGCATATCGCTCGCTCTCGCTCTCTATTCCCTGTGTGTGTCAATGCCTTTTACTGGCGGGGCTGCTACGCTCTCATGCTCTCTACAACCCTCACTTTGTTATTGTTGTTGCATTTCGCTCACACACGCGCTTGGCGGAACGATGCCAAAAATTTTCGTACATCTGCACTCACACACAAAGCCGTGGATCACACATGCATATGTATGTACATATGTGAGGCGTAAACAAATATGTATGTATGTTTGAATTTTAAGACTCGACATATGTGCGTGGTAGTGTGCGTGTGCGTATACGTGCGTGTGTGTGGTGTAGTATGTTGTGTGGGTCAATGTCCTGCCGGCTTGCACAAAAACAAATAAATTTTCTGTAAGGTCATAGATTTGCTCAACCGAAATTTGCCCAAATTCTTGCGAAATACATATGTATGTATGTGCATACCCTGTAAGTTTGTCAAGTGGGTAGCTGTGACTACTAAGGGGATTCATATCTTCAGGTCAATTTAAGTTATACTAGTAAGTTATACTCTAGGAATACGACATATAAATTATATTAAGGGGTATGTTAATGCGTGTATACTCCTCAAAGATACGGTTTAAGGCATTATCAAAAGTCAATGGCATTTTTGATTTGACTGCAGGATATGTAGACGCCGAGAACTTTCGAGTTGTCGTTCTGTAATTTTCTATTCTATAAATTTCTTACTGCATACTTGTGGGGGACCTATACTCCTTTCAAAATTTCGATCTTAGACCATGTTTACTCTATGTCTTAAGTGTTGATTACAATTATGTCTGAAAATTTAGCTTAAATATATATGGAATATTCATATAGACCTATTTTATTCAGAGACCCCAAAAAAGGAAATTACGCAATATAAGGTAATAATATAAAAGTGGATTTACATATATCGCGATTCGAGCCTATTAGCAGTAAACATTCAATATACAATATACAAACAGTCATATCATATTAATATGATTTAATTTGCTGGTGCAATTAGCTTAATGTACTTTTGATCACTGCTCTAGCCATAATCATTTCATCTACATTTCATTATCTCGGGAAGAGTGACTGAATAGCCCGCAAGAGAAAATAAAATAAAATGATTTCCACAAATTTTGCTATTTTGTTTTGCTCAGCAATTAAAATTGATTTTCTTCTGACATTATTCCCGGCACGTGAAACACACCGTTTCTTGCATGTGCGAGTGTGTGTGTGTGAGTGAACGTGAGTACCGTTTGTGTTGTTGTTGTTTCTGCTGCACTCTCCAAATAATCATGGTAATGCAGCAAAAGAATGGGCCGCGAAACGCACGCAATCTTCCCTTTGCCCCGCTCTACCAAGCCTGAATGTATGTACATACATATGTACGTATGTATGTACGTACATATGGGCATATCTAGCTCTCGTTCGTTACACTGGTGTCCGTTTAAATAGCATACAAATCAGAATGTAACATGGTTGACAACACCAATTAGGCTAGAGATGAACGCGTGTCGTGCGTGAAAATATGTGACTTGACGAAGGAAAATTAAGTAGAGAAATACTATTGTTCAATTTCGTACTAGTTAGGAAGGTAGTTGATTTGAATACTTGTATTAGCCAATATATGTAAAATGATGAATGATTGTAATAAAAACAATTACATTTATATTTAAGTATATTATTATACATATAATTATTTGCAAATTCTGCTCTGCATTTTGGTTTTTTTGTATTTATACTCATTCACGAAAGTGAATTAGTATATTGGTTTTGTGCAATGTCCGTCTTGCTGTCCGTCCGTCTGTCCCTCCGTCCGTCCGTATGAACGTACGTACTCGTGTATATCTCTGATTTATAAAGTGTTAAAATTTTCCCGATCCGCCCACTAGGGGCGTGGCATATTGAAAAATACCCTGTAATTTTCACATTTTTGGAGCGTAAGCATTAAAATTTTGCAGTTAGGGTACCGTTAGCTCGTTCTAAAAACTGACCAAAAATGAGGTGTCTACGCCCAGTAGGGCGTGGCAAATAGGATCGCATTGTCTACAGTGTTAAGCTTAACTTAGCTACTAAATTGCTGATGGGATGTGAATGAGTATTCCGCAGTCGGTAACACCCGACTGCAGCGTTCTTACTTGCTTGTTTCAGTTTCTTTGCAATATCTTTCATAATAGCGCGACACGCTCTCGTCTCTAATTGAAATGCTATGCAGCTGGTCATATAATTGCGGTCTACTTTTGCTTCGTTTCAGCTGAGAGCAGTGTTACCCATAAAAGAGCGAAGACTGCACCGCCGTGCTGCCCTAAGTGTCGCGCAATAACGGCAACATACGAAAGAAAGAAGCAACAGAACTGAGCTAGAGCAAATAAATCAAGTGGAAGTACAAGGGATTGCGAGCATATTGCAGACTGGCTACACACACACATCCGCAGTCCCATACACTCACACGCTCACCTACACAGACTGAGTCAGGCTCACAATGAGCTCGTATCTGGAACTGTTCGGACTGTTCGTGCTGCTGATGTTGCCCTTTCTGTACGAGACGAATCACATATTTCGCTATTATTTCAAGTTCATGATATACTATGGAATCGTCTCCATCAATGCGATCATATTGATACCGGCATTTCTCACACGGCCCTGTGATGTACGCAATTTACTGTGAGTATAGTGCATAACAATTTTTTTTTTTTTTTTTTTTTTTTTTTTTTTTTTTTAAATATAAGAAAAATTGGAATTTAAATAAATATAAAAAAGAATAAGAACTGGGCGAAACAATAGATGTTCTGTTGGAACCTATCGATTTGTTTCATATAAAGCGCAAAACTGATTAGTTTATTCCAAAGTTCCCTTTATCTTTAACCATAAAGAGTTGACACTCTGTACCCGCTATAAAATATGAGATCGATAAATATAGCCGCTATATGTATGTTGATTGCCGCACTTGTAGCCAAATCAAACCACCTAAAAACCACAATATCGTCAACAAAAACAACAATTTGTGGTCATAGACTCACACTATCATATCATTATTTAATTGCAACCACTTGGCTCGATTGTCAACTTACTTTGATTGCCTATCTATGTATATAAGTATATATATATACATATGTATATCTATGTATATATGTATATTTTACGTAATCCGGAAATTTGAGCTTGTAAAATCTCGGCCAGTTGGTTTTATCAATCGTTGTATTGCGTTACGATGTTGACCTTAAGGCAGCGCCTTGGAATGGGTCTCATTAGTAGTGGGTCCGCTCAGCTCTTGTTTACTAATTGCCCAATAATCCCTAGGGTTAGCCACGGTATGTGCTTATCATGTTTTATTTCACATCCATTAAGTGAAATATATATACATATAGTGTTGCTTGACAATTAAAATAATTGTATGAGAGATATCATCAAGAACTATTTTCGAGCTTTCGTTCCCGATTATTTTCCTGCATAATTTAGACTTTATAATGTTAAGAAATTAGTTTGGCTTACAATGAAACTATAGAAACTTACAAATATTTGCTGAGAAAATTATATAAACAATAAATTAGTATAATTA